CAAGACCATCCTGGCCAACATGGTGAAACCCCGTCTCTACTAAAATACAAAAAATTAGCCAGGTGTGGTGGCATGCACCTGTAGTCCCAGCCACTCAGGAGCTGAGGCAGGGGAATTGCTTGAACCCGGGAGGTGGAAGTTGCAGTGAGCCGAGATTGCGCCACTGCATTCCAGCCTGGCGATAGAACGAGACTCCGTCTAAATAAATAAATAAATAAATAAATAAAATAAATAAATACAGGCTCATAAAACTCCCAAGTTTTATGAGCCAATGATATAAGATATAAGCATGGCTGGAGTGGAAGCAAGTGCTATTTTGTCATAATGGTAGTTATGCATCCAGATGGTGCCTGATGGAAAGCTTTCTAAGAATTGCTATTCTTAAAGACGTATCAAAAGATGCTTTGTCGTGTGCTCCTGATTCACATGTCTGGGTTGCTCTCATCTCACTGGTAACATTGGGGCCATTTCCTTCTCTAGGAGCTTACCTGTCCCAGGTGGTGTCTAGCTCAAGATACTGTGAAGAAATGACAACAGCGACCTACTACACAGCTGTCTCTCCTGAGACTCTCAGTAGATGGGTGGTTTGATGGGACAAATACAGCATTATCGTGTGTGTGTGTGTGCGCGTGTGTGTGTGTGTGTGTATGAACGAGTCAGCCAGCCAGGACCTACTTCTAGAGGAGTAGTTAATGTGTATGAACGAGTCAGCCAGCCAGGACCTACTTCTAGAGGAGTAGTTAATAAACAGCATGCTCAATCTTGCCATTGATTTCTTGACTTTTTTCCTATGACCTTCCATGACTTAGCCAGCTCACAGCATAGTCTTGTGTCCTCTAGCTCTGGTCACTTGGGTACCATTCACCATCTGAACCACACCTCTTGAAAGTATTGATCTACATGCCTTATTCTCAGATATGACCATCGTGTCTCCTTAACCAGATTGTGAGCTCCTTGACAGCAGTCACTGCATGGGAGATGGCTTCTTTATTCCTCATAATGCCCAGTACAGAGATCCATAAATACGCCATGTGCTTGGCTTGTCAACCTCACTATTAAGAGAAAAATGCAGTTTCCTTCATTAGTCTTGTATTTACCTGGAACTGAGGCTTCTATTTACCTCCTGAAAGTAGATCTGGCTTCTCAATACAAATACTGTTCATCTTTGCGCTATCCTACGATCTGGGGCAGCCACCGGCCTTCCTCAGAAACTATGAATGACCTTAGAATAGGATTATGTGGCTGATTCTGTTCACTTCTTGGCAAATCAAGTCAGCTATGAAGGCGAGGAGAAGTTTGCGGAAATCCAGCCTTAATCCTATGTCACAGGGAGCTACAAGCAGAATAATTCTCTCGTCTACAAAGCTGCCTACTGCCCAAGGATTGAACACTACTTCTAATTTGTTAGAGGAGAGAGAAGACTGAGTCTGTGATGCATATGGTATCTTATAAATGCTGACTTTTTTTTCTTTTGCCATTTGAGCTAGATTTTAAACTGATTTTCTAGCAAGAATATTGAAAGCAGTTTCTTATGAAACAGTTCAGTTTTCTTAGGAAGTTTGCAGAAAACCCTAGGACATGTGATGTTTTCATCTTTTTGGAAATCGTACTCAGTCATAAGAATTATCTAAGGAATCCATAAACGTGACGTTATTCAGAACATGAACATTGTTCATATTTAAATTTGGTCTTCAAATTACAATGCTCAATAATTTAGATGAAAATATAAAAGGAGCAGTAGCGGAGGTGGAATTAGGAAGTGGATAGGAAGTCATTGTCAGATGCTGGCGCCCAGGACATCCTCTCAATATGTACCTCCTCCAACCAGCTGGCCTCAATTTTGCTCAGCTCCTTGAGTTAGCAAAGTAACACAGCAGTCCCTAAATGACTCAATGGAGGAACAAAATTGACAAAAGAAGCTTATTCTTTCCTTAGTGTTCCCTAGTTTTGCTTAACTATTTTCCAGTTTTTTCTTTGGACTCCATTTCTTTAGAACATTAATGTTTAAATTGAAATTCTCTAGGCTGGGTATGTCCGTTAGCTATTGCTATATAACCAATGAAGTATTTACTTAAGTCACTATGCTGTGGGCCAGCTGGGTGATTCCTCTGACCTTGACTGGGCTTGCTCATGCATTTTTGGTCAGCTGTGGGTTAGGCAGGTGGCTGCTGATATTGGTGGGGCTTTCTCAACTGTTGGGGGTCGGCTGGCTGTTGGGAGCTCTAGGAGGGCCTTGGGTCTTCTCCAAATCCAGTGAATCCAGCTTGCTTACTTTGCAGTAGTGATGCTCCAGGAGAGAGAACAGCAGCATGCCAGGTCTCTTGAAGCTTAGGCTCAGGACTGGGAGCACAGTTTCCACACATTTTATTGGCTACAGGAAGCCCAGATTCAAAGGACGGGGTGAAAGACTCTACCTCTTGAGGGGAGGAGTCACAGATCACATTGCACAGGACACTGATACAGGGGGGATAAAAAAATTGGGGGTTTGGTTTTTGTATGTAGTTTATCACACTGGAAGAATTTTATACAGACACTCAGATACAAACAAAAAGCTTGTTTTAGCTGCTGGAATGTATTATAGAAGCAATGATCAGAGTGGTGAGACGAGGGCTCAGAATATAAAAGAAGATGTTTTTCCTGCACTCTAATTTTAAGCATCCTTTCTCTCAGGGTTCAACCTTGGTTATTTTGCTGCTGTTATTCTCTCCCTTCTTATTTGGCCACATTTTCAAAGAACTGGGATTTTCAGAAGCCTAAGATCATTTAAGATACAGGTTTAAGTCCTGTGTGTTTGGAATCTTTGTACTGTGCAATTGAGTACTTTTAACTGTAAAAGTTATTTTTCTAAGATGTTCATACTCACTGGTTCTTTGTGGCATTTGAGAAAGTCCTGTCTTCTAATTTAGGATCATTAAATTAAAAAAAAAATTGAAACGCCCTTCCCCACTCCTCTCCCAAAATTATCTTTTGGCTATATTTGTGGAGCTACATCTTGCACCTCCTGTGAAAGTCTTGAGACTCCAGACCTGGAGCTGCCAATTCAGAAGCCAAGGCAGCTAAGGTCTGAGTGAACTGTTGGACAGTACCTGGGAGGCAGTAGGAAGTGGTACTGGGTCGTGTGGTAGACCAGCAGTTCTTTACATTTACATTTGCTACCTGTTAACATCACCCAGAGAAGGGTTTTGTTTGTTTGTTTGTTTGTTTGTTTTTGTTTTTTATGCCCAGGCTACATTCCAGACTGATTAAAACAAAATCTCTGGGAGTGGAATTGACCTATTAGTATTTTTTTTTTTAAAGTTCCTTGGGCAGTTTCAATATGCAACCAAATTTAGGAACTAGTGAACCAAACCAGAATTTCTCAATCTTTCATGTGCAGAGAAATGACCCGGGGACTTTGTTAAAATACAGATTCTGACTCATCCTGTTTGGGGTAGGCCTGAGATTCTGCATTTTTGTTAAGTTCCTGAGTGCTGCTGATGCTGCAGGTCCTCAGACCACAGTACGACTAACACGATGTAAAGTAGAGAGCTCAAGCAGCCTGCAAACTTTTTTTGCAGAGGGGGAGGGGGCTGGTCTACTGCATATTTAAACATAATTTGAGTCAACAGTTCAAAATTAAGAGATTTGTCACAAAAATGGTTATTTCTGGTTTCTCTTGGAAAAAAAAAAATTGAAAGCACCTACAATCCCCAGCTCTGCCTTTCCACACAGGCTTGTGCTAAAGAGTGACCGCCCCACAGGAGGGGGTGCAGATGACTCACCAGGGCAGGCTCTGAAATACCTTTCCCTGCATTTGTTTATGAATAGGATGAATCTGTCTTTCATGTTTTCTATATGGACTGGCAAGTCGATTTAGAATGCACAAGTGTACATGTGCATCCACAGCAAAACCACGAAGGCAAAACACCAGATGATAAAGTGGAAGATGCAAACAGAGAAGAGAAAGAATAACAATTCTTTAAAAGTTACATGTGTTTATCAGTAAGGAAGTTTTTGGTTATATCAGAAGCTCACTTGAGCTGTTTTAAGGGAAACAATAAATGAGGGCGAGGCTGGGTGCGGTGGCTTACAACTGTAATCCCAGCACTTTGGGAGACCAAGGCAGACGGATTACTTGAGGTCAGAAGTTCGAGACCAGCCTGACCAACATGGAGAAACACCATCTCTACTAAAACTACAAAAAATTAGCTGGGTGTGGTGGTGCACACCTGTAGACCCCGCTACTCTGGATGCTGAGGCAGGAAAATCACTTGAATCTGGCAGGTGGAGGTTGCAGTGAGCTGAGGTTGCACCATTGCACTCCAGCCTGGATAACAGAGTGAGACCGTGTCTCAAAAACCAAAAACAAAAACAAAATAAGTAAGGGAGAATTGTAAGCATAGAACTGTACTCATGGACCCATGATGCAGCAAGGCTTTCAGGGAAGAATGGAACCAGGGAGGGGCCTGGCTGTCAGCAAGGGGGACCCTTTCTTTGCTTTCATCTCACTCTTCTCTGCACATCCTCCTCCTCCTGTGTCTTTGCTTCCTCGTTCTCCAGTTCACACAGTAGAAAACACAGCCAGCAGCAGTACCTGCGTTTACATACTAGGGGTCTTGCTATACATTCTCAATCCATATTCTTGAGGAAGAGATTATAATGGCTCAGCCTGGTGGAGGAGGAGGGGCACTGCTGTTAACTGGGAGAATTGGAGAATGTCTGGCGAAGCTTCTGCTATGTTAAGGAAACGTATTGCAATTAAGCATAAACTTCGAGCCATCCTATGTGGAGAGAATGAATGCTCTGAAATTCTAGAATGGTCCCAGCCCATCCCAGAGGCAGGGGATAGACAACGAGGTGTCTCAACTCCTTTGTTTCTATGGCATCTTTGCCTTTTGAAGGAGAATCTGTCCAATTGCAGAGTCAACTATTTCTCAATAATAATAATAATAGTAATAATGCCTGAAGATGCAGCAAGACCAGCAGTGCTTCACTGATTTTTTTTTTTTCCTTTCCAAAAGACATGCAGAGCATGATAATCACATGAAGGCAGCAGCTCCTGACAGCCGGCTACAGGCCAGCTTTCATGTTGTGGGTGGCATTAGGTAGATAACCCACAGGAATCGTCTCTGGATCTGAGGTCAGGAGAATACAGCCAAGGCTACACAAGACAGAGAAGATTCCGCTGAATTTCAAAAGGTAGGAAACTCGGTTAAATGTGAAAATGGGAAGAGAGCAGAGGAAGATATTCATAAACCAGGTTATTGAGAAAGGATGGTTTATAAGAGTGTGCACTTACTCCCCTATAATGAGGTCTGGGATTATCCGTAAAAACATTTAGCTCTGATTGTTTTAAAGAGAAAAGATAAAATGTTTAATATGTGGCACCCTGGAGTGTGCCTTTTTGTGTGTGTATTTTAAATGATCATCCTAACGAAACACCTTTAATGTACAATGGATCGAATTATACACCTTCCCATCAGAGAGTGTGAGGGAGAACAAAGCCACAGATGTTGTACATTCAGACGATGAGGTGAGAGCAGATTTGAGGATAAGAGGAACTGAAGTGCCTCATATAAGCCTGTATGAATGCTCCCATCTGGTCCTAGGACTCAACTACCTGACGTCAGCAAAGATGTTTCATAATACACAGGGCCAAATGCTAAGTCTACCTTATAATTAAAAATATCCCCTGGGGCTCTTCCTTGAGATCTGAGAAAATGTGATTGTACTAAAAATTATATCCTATATAGGAGGAAATAGCAAAGTAACTCACCCCACTTGTCCTGGGGTGCAATCTTCAGTTAAACTTGTCAGAGATCCTAAATGTTATGTTTAGTCTTTCTGTGTATCTATTAAATCTGTAGGTGCTGGTCATTCTCTCTGGAAAACAAAAAATGGCCCATTCTTCCAGATACTCTCAAGTTAAGTGTGATTGTTACAAAGGCCTGGTGGACTCACATAGAGACAGACAAGGAAACTTCTGGGCTCCTTTCTCTCACTCCCCCCCTTCCTCCCTTTTACTGTGGAGTCAGTCTATTGTAACAATGCTTTAAAATACATCTGAGTGGTATCAGAGCAAGAATTCATTTGTACTGAGGCATGGCTTTTATCTGTAAGGAAGGCTATTTGAAAAACCAGGCCTTGTGTGGTGAGGGCTCTGAGGTGAGAGCAAAAAAAGGACGGTCTACCTCTTATCACCTGGGCTGGCTTGGCTGGCTCCTTTCCCAGAGCCTCTGTTCTGTTTACCCTCAACTCCCTTTTCAACAGGCTGAGCTGGCCTCTACTTAATTAACATTTGCATTAAACACTTTCTGGCTGCTCCTTCAATTTCTGCCTTCACTCCTGGAGATTTATTTCTTTTTCATTTTTGAGACTGAATTTCACTCTTGCCCAGGCTGGAGTGCAGTGGTGCAATCTCTGGTCACTGCAACCTCCACCTCCCGAATTCAAGCAATTCTCCTACCTCAGCCTCCCGAGTAGCTGGGATGACAGGTGTATGCCATCACATCCAGCTAATTTTTGTATTTTTAGCAGAGATAGGGTTTTGTCATGTTGGCCAGGCTGGTCTCAAACTCCTGACCTCAGGAGATCCACCCACCCAAGCCTCACAAAGTGCTGGGATTACGGGCATGAGGCACTGCACTCGGCCCACTCCTGGAGATTTCTGAGTCTCTCAAGGAAGAGAAAAACCTCCACTTTCCCAGACTGGAAACAGATCTTCCCACTCTTCTGCAGAAATCAAGGGATAGAAAGACAGTTTGAATCGCGATCTCTCTTCATTAACGCCTTCTTCAATTGTTCATAAACGTCAGGATTCCTTTGGTTTCTGAAGTAGTGAAGGGTTTAAAAGTGGATATAAAATGTTAAAAAAGAATCTAAAAATATTCTTTTTATGCAAACGTTGGTGTATATCACCCACATGCTCCATCTGAAGAAAATAGTTAAGAAATCACTAACCGCCCCCCGCAAAGAACAGAGAACTCAAGTTGTGGGAAACCAGAAAAATAAGGCAAATAACAAAAGCACTATGGATGGATGTGGAGAGGTTGCTGTCATGAAACACGAGCGAGCAAAGGCAAAAATCCTTGAAATAGAAGGGATGTGGGGGATTCTAATAAGTATTCAGCAAATTTATGAACTGGGTGGTGGGGACACAGGTTAAGCAAAAAAGTTCCCGAAGTCTTAAAGTTGTGGACTCCAAAGTAGTCTATGATGAGGAGAGAAGGTGAATGAGTACCAAAGATGCCACTTCACTGTGGCCATGCAGAAACCATGTGTGCCATGGGGCTGCTAAAATAGCCTTATTAAAATTAACATGAGATTTAGGGGAAAGAGCACTGAACAACATAAAAAGCTACTGATAAAAGCTATGACGTGTGAATAAGTCAAATCTGTGTGCACCAAAAACAATAGCAACTAAATATGTAAAGCAAGGGAGAATTGATACAAATGTAATTAAATGGACTTCTCAAGCACCTCTCTCAAAATTGCAAAGATGTCTTTCTAAAAATAAACTTGGCCAGGCGTGGTGGCTACTAAAAGTACAGAAATTAGCTGAGTGTGGTGGCTCACACCTGCAGTCCCAGCTACTCGGGAGGCTGAGGCAGGAGAATCGCTTGAACCTGGGAAGCGGAGGTTGCAATGAGCCGAGATTGTGCCACTACTATAAAGCCTGGGGGACAGAATGATACTCTGTTTCTAAATAAATAAATAAACTCTAATTTTAGCACAGTTTTAGATAAAAATTGCAAAGATAGTACCCCATGGGCAGTTTCTGCTATTGTTAACGTCTTAACAATCGGAAGGTACGCTTATTGTGATTAATGAGCCAATGTTGATAGATTATTATTAAGTAAATACATACTTTTTTCACATTTCCTTAATTTTTCTATTACATGATCCCATCAGGATCCCACATTATAGTAAGTCATCAAGCGTCCTGAGTCTCCTCTTAGCTGTGACAGTTTCTCCTTGTTTTTGATGACAGTTGTTTATTTTTTGGTAACATCTTTATTGAGATATAATTCACATGTCATACAATTCATTCATTTGAAGTTTTTTATTCACAGAGTTGTGAAATAATCATCACAATCAATTTAAAAACATTTAAATCACCCTAGAAAGAAACCCTGTACCCTTTATCACCCTCCAGTCACCTCATCCCCTCAGCCTTGGGCGACAACTAATTTACTCTCCATCTCTATAGAGTTGCCTAATCTGGATATTTTAAATACATATGATAATATGATACGTAGCCTTTTGTAACTGGATTTTCTTCACTTAGCATAACGGTTTAAAGACACATTCATAGTATAGCAGGTATCATACTTCAATCCTTTTTATGGCTGAATAGCATTCTAATTTGTACATGTATATATACTATATTTTGTTTATACATTCATCAGTTGATAGACATTTGGGTGATTTTCACTTTTTGATTATTAGGAATAATTAGGCTAATTTCTTTCATCATGTTTTATAGTTTTCAGTGTACATATCTTGCATTTCTTTTGTTTGATTTATTTCTAAGTATTTTATTCTTTTTTATGCTATTGTAAATGGAATTGCTTTTCTTAATTTCACTTTCGGATTTCTCATTGGAAGAGTACAGGCCAGGCATGGTAGCTCACACCTGTAATCCCAGTACTTTAGAAGGCTGAGGTGGGTGCATCACCTGAGGTCAAGGGTTCGAGACCAGCCTGGCCAACATGGTGATACCCTATCTCTACTACAAAAAAAAAAAAAAAAGAATTAGCTGGGCATGGTGGTGGCCACCTGTAATCTCAGCTGCTTGGGAGGCTGAGGCAGGAGAATCACTTGAACCCAGAAGGTGGAGGTTGCAATGAGCTGAGATTGCACCACTGCACTCTGGCCTGGGCAATAAAATGAGATTCTGTCTAAAAAAAAAAAAAAAAAAAAAAGAATGAAAGAAAAGAGAAAGAAAGGAGTAGAGAAACACAATTATTTTTGCATTTTGATCTTGTATCCTGCACCCCTGCTGAACTCATTTATTAGTGCTAATAGTTTTTTGTGGATGCTTTAGAGTTTTCTCTAAGATCATGTCATCCATGAATAGAAATCGTTTTAATCCTTCCTTTCCAGTCTGGTTGCCCTTTGTTTCTTTTTCTTGATCAATCACCTGGTTTGAACCTCCAGTACAATATTGAATAGAAGTGGTGAGAGTGGGCATCCATGTCTCATTTCTGATTTGGGGGAAAGCACTCAGTCTTTTGCCTTTAAGTATTGTGTAAACTGTGGGTTTCCAGATGCCCTTCATCAGGTTAAGTAAGAGCCCTTGTATTCCTAGTCTAGGGGCAAAAAGACTATTCCTTTCCCCCAACATCATAAGGGTCACAGCCAACACTCCTATAACAAAAGACAGGTTAAAAAGAGAAAAGCATAACAGACTTATTTAACTATAGTTTTATATAACGCTGGAGGCTTTAGAATAAAGACCCAAAGATACAGGGAAAACTACCCATTTTTATGCTTAGATTTGATAAAGAAAGAATAGCAGTATAGAAATATGATTAAACATCAAGGCTCTGATGTAATGCTAGTAGATTGAGGTGGGGACACCCAGCAAGGCCTGTCTGTTCAGATTCTTCTTGGCCTCTGTCTATACAGAATTAATTCTTCTCAGGTATGAGGCATCCCTTTCTGGAATAGGGGTCTTATAATCTACTATCAAACAAGGTAGGTTAGATAACTTCTTTATGGCCAGCTTTTACACAGAAAGGTGGGGGGAAGATTAGAGTAATGTTTTTATGTTTTATAACTGGCTTCCAGGAAAAAGGGTTCTATGATCCACCTTGGGAAAGAGGAATTCTACCCATGGCTTGCTGGAGAGAAAGAGGGCAGAGAGAAACCTTCCTTCTGAGGCTGGCTCTGAGGCCTTCACTTTGGGGTATCATTTTCTGAACCCTAAAACTAGTTTGTTGTGAAAGGGTGTTGGATTTTGTCAAATGTTTTTCAGCATTTATTGAGGTAATCATTTGGTTTTTGTTTATTATTCTATTGATGAAATGTATTACTTTGATTAATTTTCAGATATTGAGCCAACCTTGGATTCCTGGGATAAATTCTAGTTGGTCAGGATTTATAATCCTTTTTATATGCTGCTGGATTTAGTTTGCTACTAATTTTTTGAGGAACTCTGCATCCATTTCCACATAATTTCCTTTTCTTGTGATGTCTTTGTCTTGTTTTGGTATTAGGATAATGAATCTTCCTTCTTTTTTTTTTTTTTTTTTTTTTAAGAGAGACAGAGTGTTGCCCTGTCATGCAGACTGTAGTGCAGTGGCACAATCATAGCTCACTGCAGGCTCAAACTCTTGGGCTCAAGTGGTCTTCCTGCCTCAGCCAACTGAGTAGCTGGGACTACAGGTGCTTGCTACCACATCTGGCTAATTTTAAAAATTTTTGTAAAGACAAGGTCTCACGATGTTGTCCCGGCTGGTCTTGAACTCCTGACCTCAAGCATTTCTCCTGCTTTGGCTTCCCAAGGCACTGGATTACAGGTGTGAGCCACTGTGCCTGGCCTCCCTCTTCTATTTTTTTGAAAGACTTTGTGAAGAATTGGTGTGAATTCATTTATTTAAATGTTTAGTAGAATTCATCAAGGAAGCCACCTGGTTCTGGGCTTTACTTTCTGGTAAGTGTTTTGGTTACCAACTCAGACTCTTTATTTATTATAGGTCTATTCTGATTTTCTATTTATTTTTGAGTCAGTTTTGGTAGTTTGTTTTTTTCTACAAAGAGACAAACTTCCCCTAAGTTATATAGTTTGTTGATATACATTTGTTGATAGTATCCTCTTATAATTCTTTTGGTTTTGTAAGGTTGATGGTAATGTCCCCTCTTTCATTCCTGATTTTACTAATTTTACTCTGTTTTTCTTGGTCAGTCTAGATCAAAGTTTTCAATTTTGTTGATTTTTCCATATAACTAGTTTTGGTTTCATTGATTTATATTTTTTTCCACTCTTAATTTAGTTTCACTTTAATGTTTATTATTTCCTTCCTTCTGCTATTTCTCTCATCAATGGCAGAATTGTTGGAGATTTCAATACTCCATTTTCACTAACGGGTAGAACAACTAAGTAAAAGATAAAAAAGGAAATATAAAACCTGAACACCATTATAGACCAACCAGACCTAACATACATTTATATAGCTGTCCACTCAATGACAGCAGAATACATATACTTTGCCAGTGTGTGTAGAGCATTTACCAGGATAGAATACACGTTGGGCCATAAGATAAGTCTCAGTAGATTTAAAAGAATTGAAATCATACAAAGTATGTTTTCTGACCACAATGGAGTGAAATTAGAAATCAATAACAGAAGGAAATTTGAAAAATTCACAAATATTTGGAAAGTAAAAAACACATTCCTAAATAAGTTGTTACAATTTGTCTCTAGTAATAGTATTGTCTTAAAGAATATTTTGTCTCGTATTGGTATAGCAACTCCAGCTCTCTTTTTGTTACTGTTTTCATGGTTTAGCTTTCTTTATATTTTACTTTCAACCTATTCGTCTTTGAATGTAAAATGAGTCTCTTGTAGGTAGCATATAGTTGAATCATATTTTAAAAATCCATTCAGCCAATCTATATCTTTAATTGGAGCGTTTAATCCATGTACAGTTAATGTAGTTACTGATAAGGTAGGATTTATGTCTGCCATTTTACTACTTGTATTCTATATTCCGTGTATTTTTTGGTTCTCATTTCCTTTATTACCTCCTTCTTTTGTGCTAGATATTTTCAGTGAATCTTTTAAATTCCATTGTCACTTCTTTTACTATAGATGTTTTTAAGTTTTGTCTTGGTGGTTGCCCTGAAAATTACCGTTAAAATCTTAATTTATAACAAGAGAATTCAGCTTAATACCAACTTATTTTCAATAATGTATACAGACTTTGCTCCTATGTATCTCTTTTCCCCTTTTCTTTATGTTTTTGTCCAAAATTACATCTTTATACACTTTGTACCCATTAACTCAGGTTTATAATTATTGCCTTATGCAGTTGTCTTTTAAATCAGACAGGAAAAAAATGGAGTTACAAACAAAAAATACATTTAAAATGTCATTTATATTTAACTATGTGGTTAACTTTACTGATATGCTTTATTTCTTCATGTGGATCTGAGTTACTGTCCTACGTCCTTTCATTCCAGCCTGAAGGACTTTCTTCAGTATTTCTTGTAGAGCAGATCACTAGTAATGAACTCTCCCAGTTTTTGTTTAACTGGAAATGTCTAGAATTTCCCTTCATTTTTCAAAAGAGTTTTTCTGGATATAGAATTTTTGATTAACAGTGTTTGTCTTTAGCATTTTCAATATGTCATCACATTGGCTGCTAATATCCAAGGTTTCTGATGAGAAATCAGCTATTAATCCTATTGAGGATTCCTTGTTTGTTAAGAGTCACTTTTCTCTTGTTGCTTTCAATATTCCCTCTTTGTCTTTTGACCGTTTAAGGTGTGTCTAGATGTGAATCTCTGAGTTTATACCATGTAGAGGTCACTGAGTTTCTTAGATGTGTAGATTCAATGTCTTTCGTTAAATTTGGGAAGTTTTCACTAGTTATTTATTCAAATATTTGTCTGCCCTTGCCCATCCCTTCTTCTCCTTCTTCCTCTCTCCCTCTTTCCATCTGAGACTCTCATTATGCTTGTGTTGGTGTGCTTGACAGGGTTCCACAGGTCTTTGAGGCTCTGTTCATTTTTCTACATTCTTTTTTCCTTCTATTCCTCAGAATGAATAATACTAATTTAGCTGTTTTCACATTTACTGGTTCTTTCTTCTGCCTGCTTACATCAGCATTACATCTTACATTGAGCCCATCTAGTGACTTTTCAGTTACACTTTTAACTCCAGCTTTTTTACTTGGTTCCTTTTTATAATTACTGTCTTTTATTGATATTTTCTCTTTGCTGACACACTGCTCTTCTGATTCCTTTTGTTCTTTAGACATGATGTTTTGTTTGCTTGTTTTACTCTTGTTTTACATATTTAAAATAGCTACTGTAGTAAGTCCAATGTCTGGATTTCCTCAGAGACAATTTTCATTTGATTCCTGTGTATGGATCATAGATTCTTTTGTGCATCTCATAATTTTTGGTCAAAAATTTGACATTTCAAATAATAAATATGGTAACTCTTGAAATCAGATTCTCTCCATTACCCAGGGTTTGCTGGCACTGCTTGTTGTAGTTTATATTACCTATTTAGTGACTTCTGAATGAATCTTCCAAAGTCTTTTTCATATGTGAACACTGAAGTCTCTACTTGATTAGCTTAGTGGTCAGCTGATTAGACAGACATAGCCTTAAATGCCTGGAGCCAATAAGTCTCGGTGTATTTGCCAGTGGGCTCTGAGTGCATGTTGAAGCACAGCTTCAAAACTCAGCGAGGTAATTTACAACTCTGCCTCAGCTTTCACTTGCTGCTTTCACAAAGCCTCAAAATCATTCTGCTTTGAGAGCTTAGAGCCTTGTCTCAGGTCTTTCCTGAGCATATGCACAGCCCCATGTCTAGTCCGTGGTCTTTTGGCATCTATGGAAATCTCATTCCTCAGCCTTTCCTTTTAAGCTATGGATTAGTCTATTGTTTGCCCCAACTGTTATCCATTGCCTGAAGCAGCCACGATTTTAAAACATTTGACAAATGTCTTCAAGAGAAAAACTTCTAGCACTGGGATAATTCTAGTGAAGTCAAATGAAGACAAACCTTTGAGTGGGGTCTTCCAAGAAACAACTAGAATGGTCAGATAATGACTTCTCTTTGGTACTGAGGCTTTGAGAAAGAGTTCCAGCCCCATTCTTCTCCTTCTTTCTTTTTTTCTCCAACTTTTATTTTAAGTTCAGGGGTACATGTGTAGGATATGCAGGTTTGTTACATAGATAAACATGTGCCATGGTGGTTTGCTGCACGGATCATCCCATCACCCAGGTATTAAGCCCAGCATCCATTAGCTGTTCTTCCTGATGCTCTCCCTACCCCCATCCCCTCCCCTCAGACAGGTTCCAGCGTGTGTTGTGCCCCCAATGTGTCCATGTGTCCTCATCACTCATCTCCCACTTACAAGTGCATTCTGCCCCTTCTTACACCAGGAGTGCAGGCTGTTATTGTTCAAGGCTTCCCCAGTGCTGTGGAATGGGGAATGGAAATAAGAAGCTAAAATGCCACAAAGCTTGCTATTCTTATTGAGATTCAGAGTTTCTGTTTGTTTGTTCTTAATTTTGGCTAAATGCTTTCAAAGTTGCTGCAAGCCTGACACTAATTTCCAGGGTTTTGAAAGAGTTGACTTTTGACGATTTTTGCCAGTTTTAAAAATTGCATTTATGGAGAGAGAGCTTTGGCAGGTCCTTATTCTGATATTTTTGCTGATGTGTCAACCTTGACAGTTTCGAGTGCTAGTCAGATAGTTTGCAGGGCCCCTCCAGTGATATTTGTCTGATATTTTTTCTCGTGATTAGACTGGAGTTTTTGGGAGAGTACTGCAGAGGTCAAGTGCCACTCCCAGTACATTATACCAAGGGGACATATTATTAGCATGAGTTATCATGCGGATGCTAACCCTGATCACCTGGATGAAGTAGCATCTATCATGTTTCTCCACTGTAAGGTTGCTCTCCATCCTTCCCCCGTCTGTTCTATACTTTGTGGAAGGAAGTCACTAGGCACAGCCCACACTGAAGAGGTGGGTAGTTAGTTTCCATAGTTTCCATATATACTCAAGGCTAGAGTTGCCATGTAGATTATTTGGAATTCTCCAGGGAGAATTATCTATTTTCCCCCAATCATTTATTTATTCAATCATTTATTTATATCAGAATGAATTCATGGTTATTTATTTTACACGTTAGGCTATCATTCTATACTACTTTATTTATTTTGTTGCTCAAAATGTTCCAGCTTTAACATTTTAGTGCTCTTCCGGTTGGTTCCAGTGTACCTTTGAGCAAAATTAAAAAAAAAAATCATTTGAAAGGGAATTTGGGTCACACTCAATCTTGATATAATAATTGCATGTAGAACTTTGCATCATTTGAATACAAAAGGAGTTTTTTCTATGTCTGAATACATGTTTAAAAAACGGTTTTGACCATGAAGAAAACCTTAAATTTTTCTGACCGTTCTCTGAT